ACCAATGTCCATATTGATTAGGTCCCTAGCCATTGGTACTGCCTCTTGTTCTTTTTTTTTTTTGTGGTGAGTCTTTCTGCCTTGTCATTTTATCCAGATAAGAATATATGAACAAGAGAATAAAACACTAAAAGTGTGGCAGAGACCCCAGAAAAATGCATGCTAACCAAATCAGAAGAGATCCTAAAACTGGTGGTAGAAGAAAGGGGGAAAAATATAAAAATTAAAAAATAAAAACAAATTTTATATAAATATATATATATATATATTAGACTGGTGAATAGAACAGAGCCACCCACTTGATTTTGGTATCTTAGAAGAAACTACCTCCCAAAATTTTAAAGAAAGAAAAAGTTATATATGTGTATATATATCTATGTATAGATATATATACACACACAAATATAAGGGTATATATATCTATGTATAGATATATATACACACACAGACAAATATAAGAGTAAACACAATGAAGGGATGGCATGTGACTGTAAAGATGAAAATTTTAAAAAAAATTCTAAAAAAGGAATTGATAAAATAAGTTGGTTGGAAAAAGAAAAAAAAGAGGAAGGAATGTGCTCAGGCTGAAGACTAGAAGAAAGCCATGTGCTAGATTAGGGTATATTTTGATCTATTAGAAGAAATTGTATCCCAAAAATTTTTTAGAATAAAGAAAAATTATACGAAAAGTAAGGTTAAATACAGTGAAGGGATAAAAAATGACTATAATATTGAAGGTTTATAAAGATTGTTTTTAGAAAGTGATTGTTAAGATAAACTAGTTAAAAAACGCAAAAAGAGGAAAGAGGAGCAGTTAAAAAATAGAATAAGAAAAAAAATAAAATTAAAAGAAATTAACTTTGCAAGAGGAAAGGATTATGGGGGAAAAGCCATGAATTCTCTGTGTTGCTTTCCCCTAGCTCTGGAGTTCCGCTGTTCTCCTTGAGTCTCCTGTCAGCTTGGTCTTGCCTGGATATTCTTGCTAATCTTCTGGGGGAAGAGCCTGTTGCAGTGATTCTCAAATGTCTTTGCCCGAGGTGGAATTGCACCTCCTTGCCAGGGACTGGGCTAAGTGATCTGCTCAGGTTCACTCTCGGTAGCTTTTGTTCCCTGAACGCTTTCCATATTGCTCTGGAGGATGGGGATGAAAAAGGCGGCCTCCCAGTCTCCGGCCTGGAGGAGCTGGATCTTGGGGCCCCACTCCTCAGTGCGCCCTCAGAGATATGCAGTCAATCACTCCTGTCTCCCTGGTCTCCGGCCGCACTCCGAGCTCACCCGGTCTGTGACCGAGCATTTCTATCTCTGGTGCACGGCCCCTTTTGGAGTCTCCAAACTCAGCAGATTCCTGCCGCGCTGCTCCTCCCAGAGTAGGAAGGTAGTCTCCCCAGCTCTGCCACTTGTGTTGCCCTGCTTGAAGAGCAGTAGCCTGACTGTGTCTTGGATCATGGTTTAAGGTAATCTGATCTGAAAGCTCATTCTTCGGCTCTGACTCTGTAATTGGCTTCCCCACTCCAATACCTGGCAGCTCTGTCACACTCAGACACCCTCAATCTTTCTGTGACCCCATGGGACCTGAGAGCACACTGTCCCATGAGGGCTCCACCCCCACTTAGCCTCTGGAGTGATTTCCGTCAGTGGAGCAGACTTCCAAAAATTCTGATTTTGTGCTCCACTGCTCCACTGCTTTCCAGGAGCTGGACCCTCCTCTCGCAGCCTATCTTCCCTGTCACATCGGATTCCCTTCTCTGCACGTCCCACCTTTCAGAAATGGGTCAATTTTCTGTTCCTAGAATTGCTGCTCTTCTTCTCTTCTATCTTCTGTTGAGTTTTTAGGTGTTCGGAATGGTTTGATACCTCTCTAGCTGAACTCCTGGGATCTGATGTTGTTTCAGTCTGCTACTCCTCTGCCATCTTGCCTCTCTCTATAGATAGTATATCTCTATCTGCCACTGGAAAAAAATAGTTTTGGAAGCTATGAGCACATAGGGACTTTATTCAACCTGAGCTGACAATCTCCAAGGGAAAGGCAAAATGTTTCAATATTAAATTAGAATAACAGCCAATACCCATTAATATCCTTAAGGATTAACAAATTAATAGTATCTTTATTGACAGTTCTATTTACAGAACTATTACTTAGTCTGATGACTATGTTTTTTTGACCAAGAGGTCTATGAAAACAGTTTTTGCAATAAATTATGGTCTTATTTAGAATTTATTATTAAAATCATTAGACCTTTTATATTTGCTTTCATAGTACCCTTTATCAGAAAAATTGAATCAGTTGTTTGAGAATAGTGACAATGATGTTGTACATGAGTGTACCTTCTATTTGGGCAGCATTTCAGCTATAATGTAGGGATGCCAATATATGGCACATGGATGCAGCATCAGAATCTTTCTTAACATAGTACACGGTGGGTTAGAGCTGACATGATTTGGTACTACTGGTATGTTGTGGAAAGAGCATGGACAGATCTGGGTTTGAATCATGGTTCCATTACTACCAGTGATCTTGAATAAGACAGTTAACTTTTCTGAAGCTCAAGTTTCTTTCTCTGTTAAAGAGGAGATAATAACATATATTTGCTGGTGAGGCTTAGAGGTAATACATATCAACCACCTCGCACAGCATGTGACATTTGATAGTTGCACCATAAATGGTAACTGTTACTCTAGTGCCATGCCCTCCTACTACACACACATCTTTTTTAATGCTTAACAACAACCCTGTGAAGAAGGAATTATTGGTCCTGTTTTACAGATGAAGAAAATGAGTCTCAGAGAAGCTAAGAGTCTGGTCAGGATGACACAGGCAGGACTAGAACCCAGTTTTCAAGTTCATTTTCTTTCCATTCTACCACTAGTATCCCAGGTGTAAGGATACCCTTTCAACTGCTGCTGTGGCTCAGTCCAAAACGAGTTTGCTTTAGTGACAATGCAGAACCTGTGTGTTATTTTGCTTATTAGTGATGACGATTAGCTATGTCATGTGTTAAAGTCCATTTCCAGACCTTGTGGGGTTAGACAGATAGGCTGGCACAAAGGGTAAGTCAGTCATGGCCCAAATTTGTACTTCTGCCCTACCCTGTTAGCATAGCCCTTGGCAAAGTGTCAAGGAAAAAAATCATGACTTAAAAAAACCCACAATGCTCTATCACTTCACACCTAGTAGGATGGCCATTATCAAAGAAACAGAAATAACAGTTATTGGTGAGGATGTGGAGAAATTAGAACCCTTTTGCATTGCTAATGGGAATGTGAAATGGTGCAGCTGCTATGCAAAATGGCATGATGGTTCCTCAGAAAATTAAGCATAGAATTACTGTATGGTCCAGTTATTCCACTTCTAGGTGTATACCCAAAAATTGAAAGCAGGAACTCAAGCAGATATTTGTACAGCCATGTTCATAGCAGCCTTATTCACAATAGCCAAAAGGTGAATGGATGGATAGACAAGTTGTGATATATACACCATGACATATACCATATACTAATGGACTATGACTCAGTTTTAAAAAGGAGTAAAATTCTGATCCATGCTACAACATGGATGAGCTGTGAAGACACTGCGCTAAGTAAAATAAGCCAGTCACAAAAGGACATATTTTTTTTTCACTTATAGTAGGTTCCTAGAGTAGTTGAATTGATACAAAGTAAAATGATTGCTGGAGGTTAAGTGGGAAATAAGGTTGGAGTTTTAGCTTGGGAAGATGAAAAAGTTCTGGAGATGGATGATACAAGGTTTGTAAAACAGTGAATGTACCCAAAGCTTGTACACTTAGAAATGACTAAAATTGCAAATTTTGTGAGATATATATATATATATTTTTTTTTCTTATTTTAGTAGAATATACATATATTCTACTAAATAATTCTTACTTATTTAGTAGAATATATGTATATTCTACTAAAATAAGAAAATAGTTTTAATTATTACAGATTTTTATGAATTAAAAAGAACTTAAGTGTATTTTTTAAAAAGTGTATGAGTATCAGTTATACTTGAATTTACTTTTTAGTTGATAAGTTCAAAAATTTAACAAGAAAAACAGTATTTTATCAGAGTGTTAGGATTATGATTTTTCTTTATACCTTTTCCAAACTTTCCACAGTGGTGTCAAAATTACTTATATAATGTGGGAAAAAAATCTAAGTATGTACATATGCATACTTCTTTAAAGTTATGTACGTAAGAGGTGAAAGTTAGAAATGGTATATGTATCTTTTTTCAATTTCGTTGGGGAAGGTAATTTTGCTGTAAGCTGTATGTTACTGAACTGTTGGCTGATGAATTTACCTAACAGCTATTAATTGAGAACCACTGTGCTTAGACCTGATGTTGGCAGAGCTTTTATACTTTTCTAAAAGTTGCGTGTTATTTGCTAAGGTTTGACCTTATGAAATTACCAATATAGACTTGTTTTCTCACCTATACAAACAGCAGTTCCATACTAGTTCAGTGTAATGATTATGAAAGGGAAGCAGTGTGGCAGAGTGGAAAGAACTTTGGAGTAGGACTCAAAAGACCAAGGTTCTGGTCCCACTTCTATACCTAACTATTATATATACTTGGGGAAGTCACTTCCTTCTCAGCTTCATTTCTCATATTCTTGAGGTGAACCTGATTATATATTAATGTAGTCTCAGTTTGATGGAGTGACTTGGCTCTAGTCTTTCTGAGGATGGGGCACTGAAGTCTTTTGACCTCTGGCCCATTGGTCTTTATAGCATGTCGGAATATGGCTTAGTAGGTGGAAGAGGGGTGATTTGTGGTCTATGAAGTTAACAAAATTAAAAGGATATATGAAGAAGGGCATTCAGAATCGGGGGGCAGGGAGGGCAGGTAGAGGGGTAGGAGAGGTTGGGTAGGCTTGGGCAGACAGAAAGAGCCTTGATGTCTGAATTCGAAGAGTGGGAGAGGTAAATAATTGGAATAAAGATAGAAAATATTACATACTTGTTTCTTAACAGTCTTCTGTTTTTTTCTTGCCTTGTAGGGGATCTGTGGGGCCCTTTGATCCTTTGTGTGACACTTGCATTGTAAGTACTTATATTTCGTTCTTCTGCAATTTGAGATAGACCATACTTTCTTGTGTGGAGTTTCAAAATTGAGGGAAATTTTGAATATTTTATTTAGGATTTCTATGATATATTGTACTTCTTATGATTTCAATCTAAAAAGTCAAGTAGTTTTCCAGATCAATTCAAAGAGTGATAGAATTAAAGATGTGAAAATTACGCTCCTCTCTCTTTACCAATAACTTCTTAGCCTGTTTTAGCCATTTCTCTTGAAATGACATTTGTTTACTCTCATGCACCTCCCCATCAGTAAACTAAGTGAATTAAATATTTATAGGTTTAAGTACTGTTTATTTGTAAACCTAGTTCTTCTTAAATCTTAATAATATGAATGAGAATGAGAATAAATTAGGAAGAGTAGAAGTGTTCAAGTTCAAAGCAAGATCATACTTTAAAGTGTTAGGCTTTCCGTACACATTGTACGTAAAGGGAGAGGACAGGAGAGCATAATTCCATTGAAGAGGGGAATATAACCATTGGTAGTGTGGAAAAAATACTGCATTAGGATTCACTTCTGGGTTTTCATCCTGACTGTGCTATCACCAGAGCAATTTTGGACTACTTAGAACCAAAATGTGTATAATGATTTTTTTCCGATTTACAGAAAACTTTTAAATACCTTCTCTTTATTTTATCCTCATAGCAAGAATATTATTTTCTTTTTTTGACAAACAAGTTTAGGTTCAAAGAGATTGGGGACTGAACCGAGATCACACAATCAGTGGTAGACTTGGGATTCAACCTCAGGTTTCCTTGACTGCCCATTGTCTTCCTCTGTGATTATTTTACACCTCTTCCCACCTAACCCCTCTGGGTCTCCTTTTCCATATCTATAAAAGGAGATGGCTGAGGATCCCTTCTAGGCTTGACTTTTTATGATTCTAAATTGAACAAATTTCTTAATGGCTTCTCCGCCCATTTTTTTTAAAGATTTATTTATTTGACAGAGAGAGAGATCACAAGTAAGCAGAGAGGCAGGCAGAGAGAGAGGAGAGAGAGAGGGAAGCAGGCTCCCTGCTGAGCGGAAAGCCCGATGTGAGGCTTGATCCCAGGACCCTGAGATCATGACCTGAGCTGAAGGCAGAGGCTTAACCCACTGAGCCACCCAGGCACCCACTCAGCCCATTTTTTAATGTGAATTAAACATATGGTAATTTAGGCAGTAATGTAGAGTGCTGTTTCTTATGCCTTTAATAACCACATCAAGGGCAATACACCAATGCCTTGATGGACAGGTTTATATTAGAATGACTGAGCATATGCTTTTTTAGTTTTAAAAGATTTACATTAGACATTATGTAGTTTAGCCCAATTCATTTGCAGAGAGGAAAACTGGAGTCTCAAGACATCCAGTGATGTACTCTAGTTAACATACCTAATCACAAAACTTGGATCACTTTCTGGATCTCCTGCCTTTGAGGCCCATTAATGTTCTCCCTTCATACCAGGCCAAAGCAGTAGAGATTCCAGACAACAAGTGATCAGTGCCAGCGTTCCTTGCATCGGATTGTTAGGACTCAGAATGGAGTACGTACAGGTACAGAATACAGAAGCCTGCCCTGGCAAGCAGCATAGCAGGGCAAGACTTACTAAAAGAGGTTGTGAATTTGGTGTTACTGGAAAAAAATAACATTCAGTCCAAGTGTTCTAGTCCACAATTCAAAAGTTTATGTCTGTAAAATTCTTAGACAAAGAGAAGATATATCAGTGCCTGCTCAACTACTCCATTTTAAAGCAAAGTCTTTTAGTAATAATCTGTGTTTTGATTCAAAAAAATCAACTAGATAGGTTTATAGACTCTTTCCATTCTGAAATGTCAGAACTAGGGGTGCCTGGGTGCCTCAATCAGTTAAGTGTCTGCCTTGGGCTCAGCTTATGATCCCTGGGTCCTGGCATCTAGTCCCCGGTCGTGCTCCTTGCTCAGCAGGTAGCCTGTTTCTCCCTCTCCCTCTGCTCCCACCCCAGCTCATTTTTTTCTCTTTTGCTCTGTTCTCTCTCATATAAATAAAATCTTAAAAAATAATAAATAAATGTCAGAATTAAAGCCTTAACTGAAGGATTACAAATGTAAATGTATCTAAGGGGTAGAGAAGTAACCTAAATGTGTACATGATTTGGTGACCTGAAGCCTCTTGTGAAGGGACCTGCTGCTATGTCAGTCAAGTGCTCCCAGTTGTTGCCATGTAGGAATGTAGGCCCACTGTTAGAAATTCTTCAGGTTTTTCAAGAAAATCCAGAAATGCGTATTTTTAAGTGAAACCTCCCAATTTTAAAATATTGTCACTTGAATTTAAACCCATTTTAAATCTTCTACAGACTGATAACTCCATGTCTGTGAGCCACATTTGACCCTTCAGTTTATAACCTCTGCTTAACCAAAAACGTCTTCAGTAATCCATTTACACATCCCAGCAAGGCCAGATGTGGTGACCCATGCAGTCCTGAGGCATTTGGAATTGGAAATAAGGGAGCCTTGCCAGATATTTCTGACATCTTGCTTTCGTACAACCTATATATTATAGATCTTCAGGTGAGGTTTAGGACAGCTCCCTGATTCAAAGTTTGCTTTAACTTTACTACTGTAAATAAAAGATGAAGCAATTCTCATGCCATTTCCTTCTCACAGAATGCTTCAAAGAAGCTCTATAGATAGTGAAAAGGATGGAGGACCCCAGTTTGCAGAAGTGTTTGTCATTGTCTGGTTTGGTGCGGTTACCATCACCCTCAACTCAAAACTTCTTGGAGGAAACATGTGAGTATTATTAAAATGTACTTTTTGCCTTGCCAGGTAGCATATCTTAGACTTTTAAGGAAGTCTGGCTAGTTAGGTATTTAAAAAAAATGAAAATAAATGAGGGCTAAAGAGAAATTCTCTTAAACCCACCAAACAGAGATCACTTAGTTTAACTTACCTTAAGTTATCTAGGGTCTTATGATAAGCTTCAGATGCTCTCTCCAGCTCCTGAAATCATGTGGAGACTTTTTTTGTGTTGGAAGATTATATCCATTTTGTGGAGGAGATGGTCCATAGCTTCCAACAAATTCTCAACCAGGTCTTTAAACTAGAAAAGATTAAGAACCACTGTCTTAGAGGTTAAATGGGAGAAGGAAGTCTCTAGGAATTAGAGTAGATCATCTGGTACCCTAGGTGGTTGACTCTCAAGGAGTTTGAGAGGAAGGGAGAAAGAGTAGAGGGAGAGAAAAATTAAAGCTTATGCTTAATACAGAAGCATCCTTATAGAATCAATGTTAGGGTATAGGTATTATGTATTTGAAGGAAGGTAACAATCTACGATATATAGAAATCTGTGAAATAAACTGTATCATGATACAGATCAACTATATTTATGATCTTTAAAGATGTATGTTATTTTTTAGATCTTTTTTTCAGAGCCTCTGTGTGCTGGGTTACTGTATACTTCCCTTGACCGTGGCAATGCTGGTTTGCCGGTTGGTGCTTTTGGCCGAGCCAGGACCTATAAACTTCATGGTCCGTTTTTTTGTGGTGATCGTGATGTTTGCCTGGTCTATAGTAGGTAAGAATGTACTTATCTCTACAGTAGCAAAGCAGACAAAACCATGAGTTAGAGATGACAACCAGATGAGGTGCAGTGTAACTCCTGAGTCATATGAGAGTGATAGGATTCTTGCCAGTATCATCCACAGAACCCTCTTCTCCAAGTAGGCAATGATAGGGATGCTGTCCATCTTACCAGAGTTGGATATCTGGCCTTGTGAGATGTGGAGGGTCATATCCTTTCTTTTTTATTCTTAAATAATCGATAGGGTCAGGAAAGGAGATTACACTAGACCTAGCTCAGATTCTAGCATATAGGAGGCGTAGGTGACTTGAGAAATGACTTGGGCCTTTTCCTAACAAATTAATCATTATAAGAATAGTAGCCAGCATTTACAGATTGCTTATTCTAGGCCAAGCACTGTTGTGAGTGCTTTATATGTATTATCTCACTTAACCCTCACAACTCAAATAAAAAGTAGTATTATCAGTCCCATTTTTACATATGAAGAACAGACCCAGTGAGGTTAAAAAACTTGCCCTGGGACACATAACTAGTGAATAGGGGAATTATGTTTCAAACCCAAGCAGGTGACACACCTGTTTAGAACTGTATTATACCACCTCTCAGTATAGGTTGTTATGTATATTATCATGTAGTACTTTTCTGCTTCAGTAGAAAATTCTGCCAAAGATTAGGAAGAGCCTATGGTGGTGGCAGTGAATGCTATGTGATCATTGTTATTGCATTCCTAAAATTCTCTTAAAATTCTACCTTCAACTAGAACTGCTCACTGGCTTCTTACTTCATGGGATAGACAGACTGCCTAATATTTTTAAGTGCATTAACATACACATTTGCTCTGGAACATGGTTAAAATCCAAGAAGTAATCCAAAAATACAGTCTGAGAATGCCAGAATTAATATTATAAAGACTGTGTGTTAAGCTCGAGTGCTTTACCCATGGGAGAACTCCCTCATTCCCTCACTTAGGGTCTGATAACTTACCATACTTGTAGTTGTAAATATCTGGTGTCCAGGCTTATAGCTGTTGAGGAAGTAGAGTCTTAGAAGAGAGAGAGGCTCCTATAAACATTACATTTTCTAATTCAGCAGATAGTTCTTTGAGCACAAACTATGTTTCAGGCATTGTGCTAGGCACAGTCTCTATCCTCAGAGTTCATAACATAGTGGAGCAGCCAGACATGTAAACACTTAAGGGCAATAGGTGTCCCAGGTGGGAGATGGAAGTCTGTGCAGGGTATGGTGGGGACACAGAGGATGTATGTGGGCAGTTCTGCCTGCAATGGGAGGATATGTGATGATTACTCAGGAAAGATTGCCTGCAAAGGGTGATCAGATGTTTGAAAGGTTGAGTCTCATTTCCTAGGTGGACAAGAGGGATAACATCTAAAAGAGCCGATAGCTGAATAATGAAAACAATTACTCAAGAAGCACAGCAGTATGAGGCTATTTGCCATAGGAGCAACTCGCCTTAGACATTTTTCTCAGTGTATTCATCACAGGTCAGTAACTTCTCAGAAAAGGTTAGGAAGCCCCTTTTAGAAAGATTTTCATGTGAAATGGTTGACAACTTTCAGAGTTTAGTATTGGAAACAAGTAGCTCTCAACTGTCTGGAAAACTATGCCACAGAATGCGTTTTTCCCCAAAGGTCACAAATATAACTGAACATTTTGTGTAATTCTGTGTTCCAGACTATGCCAAGCACATTAAAGTATAGTAAATGTTAGTGGTTGTGACAATCTTATTATATTAAAGATTCCATTTTGTTTTGTTTGTTTTGTTTAGCCTCTACAGCTTTTCTTGCTGATAGCCAGCCTCCAAACCGCAAAGCCCTGGCCATTTATCCTGTTTTCTTGTTCTATTTTGTCATCAGTTGGATGATTCTCACATTCACTCCTCAGTAAATCAGGAAATGGAAATTAAAAACCAGTGAATTGAAAGCTCATCTGAAAGATGCAGTTCACCATGGAGCTTTCCCTCTGGCCCTCTTTTGTGTAATTTTGGAGGTATTTGGTATGTGAGGATATTAAAAGGGAGCCATAAAGCACCATCACTGCTTCTAAGGAACCGATGTTTGAAAGGCTGTCCTTTGCCTCTTGATGTTATTTCTTTAAAATATGTAGTATATGCAGTATAGTGCTGCCTTAAGGCATGATAGGGTCACTGTGGTCCATTCAAGTGACAGCCACTGATTTGGGAAACACATGGATACATCCTGCAAGTTGAGTGGAATTAACTGCTGTATTTTCAGTTTTGAGAATACTAGTTCAGGTGCGGCTCTTAAACACATTGCCTTATGACTATTAGAATATGCCTCTCTTTTCATAAATAGGAAGGGGTAGTCTGTCCATTTTGTTTTATTTCTTTCTTAGGCTTAAAAAGACAATGACAGAGGTTGGGAAGGGGCTTCATAATTGCAGAGGAGAAAACATGCATTAACCAGTATTCAGAATTTGACCAGAGAAAATTCTGCACTTGTTGCTTTCTAAAAAAGCGAAGGACAGGTAAAGAATCAGCTTCTTTAGTTGTTCTGTATGGTTCCCTTTCCACCATGCTTATTAACAGCACCTCATTGACACTCTAGTGTTTAATTTTGCTCCCTAGCTCTGAATATGCAAGCTGTTAGTAGTCAATATGTAATTTTCCTGTCATTGAAGCTCTTGGTGGACCAGTGCTTGAACTTATCCAAGTGGGAGACCTCAAAAATTTAGATTGGTAGGTGCTTAATGCATATTATCATTTGGGCACTTGTTTCTTCTTCAGGGTAGAATGAGGCATTTTGGACACAGCATAGCTCTAAGGAAGTCCTCGTTATTCTGTGTAGTCTGGGCTTTAACTAGAAGGTAAAGCTAAATCAGAAGCCTGCATTTAACCCCATGCACATGGAGGGATTTAGTGTTCTGATGGCTGGTTCACAGAACAGCTAGATGCTTAGAGCAGGATGTTGGATGCCATGGGTTTACAGCTGCCACCTCTTCATAGTGGTCTTAGCAGTTTTTTCATTAGATGTGCTTTTTGGGTTGGGGAATGGCAATTTATTTTCTTGGTTTTAGACTTTATTTGTAAAGCTGCTTAGCTCTTCTTTAGACAAGTACTTTTTTTTGCACATGTGCACCTACTTGTATTCTCAGCTATTTATACACACAAGTGTGACGGCTTTTCAGGGAGCAGAGTGTCTGGAAAGGCTGATTTGAAGCTAAACAGGGTTCCTTTAGGGTAATATGAACTACTGCCATCTATAAATTGCACATTGAAGAACTCTTAATAGACAAAAGATTAGGAGTCAGGCAGAAAACATTCATTGTATATACAGTTACTTATAAAGATAGGAATTTATTCCATGGTTTTTCTTTATCATGGAATCTAAATATTTATTCCTAAAGACTAGCTACACATGGATATATAATTTTAAAAACATATTTTGTCCATTCCCAGATTAACAAAGAACACTACTAGGACAAATGGGTTATTGGAGTTATCACTAAATTACTGAGCATTTCAAATTTGGTCCTCTCAATCCCAGTCTTCTCCAGAGGTTTTGGTTATTATATATTTGTATTCATTTCAATTTCTCTTCTAAATTTTAAAATAAACCTAGTGAGCACAAAGCCAATTTTTCAGTCTTGAATTGGTGAAGACAATATTTTGAAACTGGTTTTGATTTTGAAATTGGTCCTTAAGTTATCATCCATTTCCATCGTCTGAAATTTCCCAACCTTTACTGAAAACTTCTCTTTTCCAAAGTTATTTCATAATCTGTCCCAGTGGTTATAATGTAAAATTAAAGAAATGATCATGTTTCTCAAAAAATTGCCTGCCGAATTTTACTCAGGCTAAATATTTTGGTCAGAAATTTTTAAGGTTACAACAGGGGTGGCAGTTTTATGGGTAGGGAGGGGGGGAGGGGGTTATATTGGGTGTTAAGGCAGTTTGTTCTGTGTGTTAATCTCTTGCTCTTGGGTGATTTAAGGAATGGTTTCATTTGATTTAAATGAAGATGGGTAAAATGGAGATTATCTTTCTGAAAATGAATGGTCAGTTTTATGGTATAAATGATTATTTTCTTAATATATGCAAAAAAGTGCATTGCTCTCTGTGGCAGAAGACCTGATTACCTGGAAGTTGTAACCCTCAACACAGCTTTCCCTGGTTTGCTGCAAAGGCACATGGCTAATTATAGAAAGAAAGACTAGAAGAGAAAGGGATTTTAACAAAGGAAACCCTGTTCTAGGAATTGGGAAGTTTCATGCTTTAGATGAAACTCAAGTGTGTGAGCTTCATTACCAAATATACTGCATCCTTGCCCAATGTGGTGCATCACTGTCATGGGTTGTCATTTGCTGCCCCTACTTCTGAGACTGAGCCTCTGTTGTAACATTCTTTAGCAATAGGAAGGTGAAGACTGGATATAATTGCTCTTCAGATTATAAAAACTCAACTGATGCAAACGTATTAGAATGTGCAGTGTAGTCTTAAATGTCAACCATTAATTTTCAAGTCTTTTGCCTCTTGGGAGTCTTATTACATGAATTGAATAGGATCTTTTTATTGTAATGGATTTTTCTGTTGTTGGGCAAGGTGGGCTTGTCACAGGACATAGGACCAGTCAGCATTTTACTGTTTACTAAATTTATCTTTTTATAAAGTATCTCCTAGATGTGATTAGAAGGTTACCAAGCCTATATTTAAAGATTTAATTGTATACTTCTTATAATCTAACTACTTATTACACCTGGACTTCCTGAAGATGAAAATGAAAATCTCCTGTCATTTCAAGTCCTTGGGTGACATCAAGTCATTGGAATTTATCTACATGCTATAATGATATGATCAGACATCCATTGCATGAGCTGTTTTATTCCAGAGTAAAATACTGAAATTGTTATTCTTAATTAGACTGTTAATTTCTGAGACAGTTTGGATAGAGATAAATCTGTGAATGTTAATTCATGTATGTAAATTAGAAATACTTTTCTAGCTTCTGTGGGCTTTTATTGAAAATAAAGAATTTCTAGGGATTTACTCAGGCCATAAGATGGCTAAGTAATAATAATGACAATAATATTACTACTAATAATGGCTAATATTTATTGGGCACTTACATTGTGCCAGGCAATATTCTATTTTTTTAAGAATTTTTATAACAGCTTTGTTGAGATATACTTTACCATAAAATTCATCCTTTTAAAGTGATGTACAATTAAGTGATTTTTTCAGTATATTCACATGATTGTGTATTATCACCACTAGCTCATTTTAGAACATTTTCATCACCTCCCAGTAAAATCCCATATCCAGTAGCATCACTTCTTTTCCCCTTCTCCCCAGCCTCTGGCAACCACCAGTCTGCTTTCTGTCTCTATTGATTTGGCCAGGCACTATTCTTAAGTGCTTTTTATGTATCTCCTCTACTCCATAACAAAAAGTGCTACAATTCTTATTTTACAAGTAGAAAATTGAGTCACAGAAAGGTTAAGTAAATTGCCCAAGGTCACACAGTAAATTGATTTAAAATAGGAAAACACTAAATGGGAGCATAGTAGGACACAGTTTTGAATTGCATTGTTATGTACATGAAATAAATATACCCTTTTCCCAGGGTATGGGTATGCTCCCTGTAATTAGCCATTACACCCTACAACTGACTGGAGATAGATAACTCTCATTCTTTTTTTTTCCCCTGAGTAATAGAACACTATATTAGCATCTGAGAAAAACACAAGAGCAGTTGTACATTGGAAAGAGTTAGGTTTCCTGCCTTCCCCCACCTTCAGCTCCTTTTGTCTCCTTTCCCCCACCTGACACATGCACACACGCACGATCCTCTTCTTTTTCCCAAAGTCTTAAGAGTCAACCAACTTCTGCCTCTTTCATTTTAATTCTCCCAGAGGGAAGATTAGTGCATCAAAATTTAACCTGTTTATTCAGGTGCTTATAGTCAGGGGATGCATCTAGTCACTTATAATACCAGTTATATTTCTAAGCCCTCAGAGAGCAGTAGTGTGAGAATAAAATTCTTTTTTAATTGGGTTAAACTAGGTGGGGGAAATAACAGAGTAAGGGCTTTGCTTTAATGAAGTCAATGGTTCCACCTGGTAGGAAGTAACCACATGCTACTCTTGTTCACTCTGTTCTGTTTATTTCAGAGCCTTTGTGCTCTGTGCCATCACTGCTGGTAATTTCTTGGTTCTCTTCAGTACTCCATTTTAATCCTGATCTTTCCTGTAAATAATGAACCTATGGAAAGAGTAAATCTGTAAGATGATTTGTGAATGTTAAACTTGCAAATAAAAACACTGGAAAAGGAGATTTTGTACATGTCCATTCTTGAGCTGAAAGACACAGAGATATTTGCTACATACTGTTTTCAGATGTAATATATTGTCATCAGACAGTACCGAATGCTGTGTAGGATTGGACAGGCAGTAATTTTAAATCACATTTACTGAGCAAGTAATATACACCAGGCTATTATGTTAGCTACTTTATAACAGTATCTCTTCTAATCACAGCAGCCTTTTAAAGTTTTGTTATTAACCTTATTTCAAAGTTTTGAAACCTGGGAATTTGGGGAGGTTAAATAAATTGTCCAGAGTCACAGTGAGTGGTGCAGCCTGGGTTCAAACTCAGGTTTTATGACTCCATAGTCTTCTATATTAGTTCCTTGCCAAATTAAAATCATACCTACCCACTTAAACTAAGCCACATCAATCAGGTAGCTTAATAATATGGTGGGAAACTGGGTTTTCACCCATCTGCTGGGGACAATACTGGTTTCTGCCTTCAGTTTATGATCTACTTGGAGAAACCAAATTCCTCACCATCCGTGCACACTCATAGTTGAAATGCATTGTGATTCTTATTTTTGGTACTACATTAAACCTTAGAATGGTCAGTGAGTATAGGAGAAAGTCTTTGAAATATTGGGAGAATTTGTATCATCCAAGAGGAGAGGGGGACATTCCAGATGGTAGGGAATATTTAAAAAGAAAGATGAGAAGTAGCAGCCAAGTCTGAAGCCATCTATCTACACATATGCAAGTGTGTCACTGTCCTGTACAAATCAGAATGCTTTGTGAAAATTTTCTAGCTGCCTTTATATATTTCACTTTACAAGGCAGATAAAACTTCTAAGCTTATAGCTAAGGAAGTAGGCTCAGATAAGTGAAGTAGTATGCCTTGGGTGATAAAGCCAGTCTCAAGAACACAATTGGAAAGTTGATCTTCATGTAAATATTGATCCTTTTCTAATGATAGCTTGCATACTGAAATGAATTCAACTAACTTTGGGAAATAAAGTTGGTGGATAAGATGAGACCAAGTTATTGAGGGTAAGTATTGAAAAACAGGAAATTATGAGTAGTTGTGGTAGGAATAGGGAGTACTGTGGTAGGAAATAGGATGTTTTCAAAAGTTCTGGAGCAGGGGACTATCTCAAAGAAAGTTACTTATAAAGGAATGAATGAGGACATATCGAAAAGTTGGATTGCAAGTAGGGTAGAGAGAAGAAAGTGCCAATATATTTCTAACCATGGGTCTGGAAAAATGGTGTATTCCTGAGAATAGTTGGGGAGGTGCTGAGTTTGGCTATCAAAGTGGCCATATCCTAAAAACAACTGGAAATATGAGTCTTAAGTGTAGTAAAAATCATAGCTAGAAATGTAAATTTGAGTCTGCAGATGTGATTCATGTTGAGAGAATGTACTGTTTCAGTCTTGTTGACAGGTAGAGTTGCTAAAGGGCAGGACTGAATAAGAATCAAAGATGAGGAGGAGGGAATGAATCTTATTTATGTGCTGTGGATTTCTACATGCTACCTTTATCTTACATGAACCTTTTGAGGTAGTTTCCTTCATTTTTAGAGGAGGAAGCAGTTTGGATTTGGTAAGCAGCAAAGGCAGAACATGAACACAGCTCTTGTTTTTACTCAAAAGTCTATGCTCTTCCTGCTGTGCTCTGCTACCCTTACAGAAAGTTTTATACTCCAACAACCTAAGAATGAGTGCCTTGCACAAAGCAGGTGTTCAAGAAACATGTTGAGTTAGTTAAAAGAAAAGTAGGCAATAAATAGGTACTACATGCTGAGCGTGGAGGCATGATGAGAAGCAAGAATTGAGAAAATATATTTGGCTAGAAGAATATAGTAAATTGATTGCACTAGTGTCCCGGTGTTTTACCCCTCTCTGAATCCCTGCCCTTTGCCATGTGACTTTGGAGTTCCGCTCAATAAAAGGCAGAACCTGTTCTCTACCTCTTCTTTCTAGGTGGTCTTCGTAGCTTGCTTTGCCTAATAAAATCTGGCAAAAGTAATGGTGTGCAATTTCTGATCCAGAATACCAGAGGCTCTGTGTGTTTTTTATTTGTCTCTCAT